CTGATGCAATAACATCCAGTTGCTTGCTGCAGTATTGTAACCAACTTTCAATGGTTTGAAAAATGTACGGTCTAAAGGTTGCATTTTGTGTGTACAATGAGGTGGAAGAGTTATGAGGTGAATCCCATTGTTGCGACAAAAGTTAATGGCTTCAAGTGTTTTGTGACTATAATGACCATCGAGTACAATTAATTGCTCATTATTTTTAGATGCATGAGTCACAATAACAAAATGTGTTAACCATTCGATGAATAAAGATGAATCTGTCCATCCACTGGAGCTAACTCTAACAATTGACCCTGAAGGTGCACCAAAAGCCAGCCTATCAGTCATTCGCTTACGGGGGAATATAAATAATAGTGGGACATAAACACCACTTGCACTCATTGCACACACGACAGTCACAGTAGCACCTCTTTCTCCACTAGTTATTTTTGAAACTTGTCGTTTTCCCTTTGTTGCAATTATTTTTCCTGGCTTATGGACATTTGTTATTCCAGTTTCATCCATATTCCAGAGCTGTTTGGCTGAAAACTTATGTTCCTCAAATAATGACTTGTATACTGAAAAAATAATGCTCTTTCCATAATCTGAACTTGTGTTACAATGTTTAATTTAAAATCTTTACCTAAATACAGGAGATTTTCCACCTAGAGATAAACCACCAACTACCTTTACTTTTCCATCTCGATGACGTTGTAATGTTTTTTTGTTAATACTAAATTCTGATGCAACATTTTTCAGACTGCAGCCCATCTTCATAGCTTCTAACGCTGACTTTATCCTATCATTTGTTGCACCTCTCTGTGTTTTTCGCACATAATTTCTCACCATTATTTAAATTGTTTATATATGTTTCTAAATAAAAAATTTAAAATTAAATTGTATAAACATATAAACACATGCAAAGTATTATATAATTATTTAATATATTATTGTTTCAAACATTACCTTACATCCATAAATTAACTCTTTTTAAGTTAAATAAGAACTTTCTTAAGTTATATGCATACAATTTTTGCACAAAGTTACCCAAGAATTATTAATAATAATGGTATTATTATTTTTTTAATTTATTATTGTTATTATTATTATTTACATTCAATTACTGATCATTAACTTAATACAATACAACTTTATTTCCCCAAATGCAATGCAAATTTTAAAAATGCATTTATAATACATTTATATATACATTTACAAATAATTTATAAATGTTTTACAAGTATGGATTGAATTGCAGTAACTGCATGTAATACAACTTCACACTTCACTTTATTTAGCATACATATTATAATATTTTAAAAATATATAAAATTATTTTTAAAAATTATTTATATATATGTATAATAGTTATCAACACATAAACCAACATGTAAATAAAGTCAATAACTAAATTAGTAAACGTTATTATGTTCTAAACACACTTTTAAAATGGTAGAAATTCCGTAAAACCACGAGACTAAAAGGCCTCCGTGGGCATCATACCCCACGTAAACAAGGAAATCTTGCCTCATATGTAGTCAGTGCAAGTTTAATACAAATAAAACTAATTTTGTTGCTTAATTAAAAACTTTTTTTTCTATATATTATTGTGGGACAAATTCTGTATAAAAAAAACTATTTTCTTACCTTCATCGCATAAGTATTGCCAGTCCAATAAACATTTAAAGTTGGAAGCAACTTACTAACAAAATACTCAAAAAAGTTAAAAATCTATTTAAAACTTAACTAATAACAATATTAAAACTATTTTTTGTTCCGTGATATTGTTTTAATTATATTAATATTATAATAGAGGAATAAAACATTACTATTCTATGATACCCTCACAAAAGCAAAAAGACTTCTTGCCCCACGGGTCATCTTGCCCCACCCTACCCTACCAGAATTTATTGGGAAGATCTTTAAGTCCACATCTATATGTAACAATTGATTGCTACTTAGAGATACATATTTTTCAAAACCATAAACATGCAATAATGCATAAAACAATGCATAAAGATATAATATCAATATATTTAAAAACATGATTACTCCAAATGAAAAAAAGAAATTTATATGTAGAATAGAATGATTTAATTTGAAGCCTTAATAAAAATTGGGATTAGAAAATTTTAAAAAACAAAGTTAATGAATTTGCCTGTACGCCTTTGTAAATATCAATTTTAGTTTTTCCAATACCAAATTTTTTATTGTTTTGAATTATTTTTAAACTTATCATTTTATTTATTTTTAATATGTTTCCAGTCTCTTTGTGTGGTATTATCGGTATTTTTAGTTTTAAATTACGTTAATTTTTAATGGTATTGACACAAACAAAACAGTTGTTAAATATTGATAATTATGTTTTCATGGTTAATATTTATTTAAAAATCCATTAAAATAATTTATTAATGCGTTCTCGCATAAGTAAATCACGTTTTGGTATTAATAATAGCTTTTAAATAAAGTTTTTTTCGGATTTTTTCGGTCATATGACCGGGGAAGATGAATTATTGTGTGTTTTCTGTTACCAAATTTATAAAATCTTAAAAACTACCGTGCACTTTGAAAATCAAGGAAAAAAGCCCCCTTCGAAAAAATTCTTCCGAAAAAATCCCCCTGTATAACGTCCTCCATCATCAAGCAATAAGCGGTTTCCTAGTATTTTATTTCAGACGCAAAAAAAAAAAAAAAAAAACATGGGCATATAAAATTACGTTAACTCTTATTATAAACCAATATTAAAAAAAACAAATTGGTGATTGAGATAACAAAATATAATTAAATTTCGTTTCTTAAAGTTGTCTTTAAAAAAGTCATCATGCATTCGCTATCTTGCTCTGTTTTTCCCAAGTTCTTTAATATTATAAATTTTAAGAACAAAATTTTTTTTGGCGTAAAATTTCTGTGTGCCACAAATTCCGTGCGACTTTATGGGCTCTGATAGAAATTATAAAACATATTTATACTGTAAGGTGACTTGTATAACATATATATACTGCAGGAGACTTGACAACAATTTTTGATTTTTAAATTTTTATTTTTGTTTAGTAACAACAACTACAAAAAATTGCTATGCGAGAATAAAACCATTTTACGATTGTATTTTTCATCGGTTATGATATCAGTATATGCCCGAGAATAGCAAATAGGTGACGATGGATTAACTTGTTTGGATTATAACTGTGACTTTAATGGCACCGACTTAGATGTATTTCCTCGCATAAGTGAACAATTTAGTGGCGTTTTCATTGCCGAATTTCGAAACACACCATTTACTTATTTGCAAGGAAAGTGTTGCAACTAAAGTTACACAGCAATTTTTAAGAAGTATCTGCTGATGGCGATGCAGCTTGTGGTTGGATTATTAACCGTAGTGGACAACCTGCGAAGTAAACTTAATTTGACGAAATATATTATATTAAAGGTTGTTATCTTTAATATAATACATTTCGTCAAATTAAGTTAAAAAAAAAGTTAAATGATGAGAAAAGCCGTTGCAAGTGTAAACTTCGTCATAAGGTAAAACCAAAATATTAAAATGATTGAAAAAACTATAAAAATAAAAAATATTTTTGTATTTATGGCCATGAATAACAATGAGCAACAATGTCCCATATTAGGACGTTGTTGCTCATTGTTTTTCACTTTTGATAATGTAGATTGGCTTTTGATAAAGTGGATCAGCAGTATTTCTAAGCAAACACAAAATTTTTTTTAAATACAATTCGAAACCATAAAAAATATCACTCTTTTTTGTCTGCAATAAATTCGTAATTGGAAAAGTTAAACCAAAAACATATCTTTTTATACAAAGCTTAACTATAAAATTAAATCCGGTTTTTAAATTTAGTATGGGAAAAATAGTAACAGATTTTTAAGTTTTCTACGCTGTTAAAATTTCTGTACTTTTACAGACTTATTTTTCGTTATTTTCATATTTAACAAAATGGTACGGAAATTTTTCTTATTTTTATATCAATTTTGAGACACGAAAATTCCCTAAGAAAAAATGTTTTATTATGGAAGCCAAAGTAAAATTATAGCAAACAAACTTGTCTCATTATAAAGCAATTTTAGATTTTATAGCTAGCGTTTATTTTTAAACCTCTATAGTATATGGTTTGTTCGCCGAAATATAAAACTTAAAAAATTTTTGCATTTTTTTCTTTCGTAAATCAAACTGCTATTGCAGAAGTTGTACATGCACAAATTCACCTTCGGTAACTCAGCGTAATTAAGAAGAGATCCGGACGATTTGCATTTCTTAAAAACAAAAATTTACATTTTTAAACTTCAATTTTTTGTGTTTACCACTTATTTTCAAATATTACTATAATATATTTTTAAAAAGTAGAATTTAAGCTTTACTTATATAATTTATTATTTTTTTTATAAATCTTTTTTTAACTTAAGTATCAAGTATACAACTTTTAATTTTTAAACCAAATTATTATATACTACATTTTTTTTTATGAGTAGTCGTAGAAAAGTATAACTAATATGAAAATAATAAATTGTTCTTTTAACTTCAAAACTGGATTACTTAAATACTTACTTAAAGACTAGACGCAAAAATCTTTTTACATTGAAATTTTTTATCACTAAAAATCACTTTCTTTACATGGCTTTTAAACAAACATTAAATGCTGACGCTTTTTTAAATTTTAATGACTTTTTTCCCATCAGCTGAATAAAAACAAAAATCCTTAAACCAAGTGAAAATGTTGAAAAACTTATGAAACATTTTGAAAACAAAGTTTGAAAAATAAATAAATAAAACTTTAATTTATAGTTCAAGTTCTGAACCTGTAAACCTGGAAATCTAAATTTCTAAACCCTCAAATCTTCATTAAACCAGCAAAATAAAAAAATGATTATTTGAGACCACATTTTACAATTTACCTCATAAGTAAGACTTGAAAACTTAAGTACTTATTGGTTTCTTTTTTTTTTAAATTAAGTTTGTTAAAAAACCTTGTATTGTTTTTCAAACATATTAATGTCCTGAAAAATATAAACATGTTCAGATTTTATTAACATTAAATATTGAAAACTTGAAAATTGAAACATAGTAGGTGAGCATTAGCCTGAACTATAATTGGTTTAAAAAATTAAAAAGATGACATCTAAATATAAACATGATTAAACAAAATAGAAATAAAAAAATAATAACAAAATATCGTTAATTTTCTTTTAAACAAAACGTTGAAACGTAATCTTTAATTAGTTGAGAAATATCTTTTATGAAGTTTTTTCTAATCTTTGACTTACTCTGGAAAAATCTTTTGCTTTTCATATTTGATTTTAGATTTTTTATTGCTAATAACAGAGATTCTAAAAAATGAAATTCGCTAAATTCTTGATCTTCAAACAAATATACTTTCTTCTTAAGATCCTGCAAGTCCTTGTTCTGTTTTAGAAAAAACTGTTGAAGATTTACTCGTAAAGGAGGTATATTATTAAATTTAATAGTTTTAGCATTCTCTTTTACACTGAATTCAACTTTACTTGAAGAACTTTGATCAGTTTGACTGTGTATTTCGGGCATTAAAACATCTTTTAAAATAACAAAATCAGATTTATTTTCGTTTATTTTTTTGATTTGATGATGTTTAGTTTCAAAACAAGATACCTGGTCGTTTATTTGTGCTTCATTTATCGATAGGCTTTCAACTGAATGTTTACATATCTTATGCTCTTCAATTTCATTTGAAAAAGCATAATCAAAAATTTGCTGTTCGACTTTATTGCTTTGATTTTGATGAACACATCTTGTAAAAATCTCTTCTTCAAAAGCACTAACTTGTAAATCATTTAAGGAGTTTTGTAAAGAAGGAAGTGTGTCAAAAAAAGTTTGTGGCTGTTGTTTTTCATCTGATTCAGGAGTATCGAAGAGGGTCATCTCAGTTTTTACGAAAGAGCTTTTCGATTCACCAAGCATTTGCTGCAACTTGTGGTTTTTACTTTTAAGCTTTACATTTAATGCTTGCATACCTCGCAATTTTCGCTTGAGATGTTTGAAATCACGAATTATCTTTTCCGAGAAGTAAGCTTTTACCTGATTTTGAAGAATAATATTTTAATATCGCATAATATATCATTTAAACTAACTAAAACATGAAAAATGTTCAAAAAATCTAGAAAAACCAAAACAAGAAAAAAACAACATAAAAATGTTCAAAAAATTTAACAAACATATGAGCCATATATTATCATATATAAAATAATTGCATAAAATAGAGACAAAACTTTAGTAATACATTTTAGCAGTTTTGAATTGATTCAAGTACTAAATCACAATAAAATTTTTATAAGAGGTCAAAGTTTAAAGTTATTATTTAAGTTATTTTAATACAAATTTTAGTTCACTTTGATTAGTCACAACTTTAAATTAACAATTTTCAATAAACATAGTTAAATATAATTGGATTAAAGCCGCTAATATTGGAAAAATTTAAAGGATTGTGTCAGTTTATATTTTAAAATACGGGCATTAATATGCTTATAACATTATGAAAGATTGTAAAACATATTTCACATTAAATAAATTGCTTTAAGTTATATAAAATTTCTAAATTAAAAATATAATTGACTTACGCATTTGTCTTCGTTGCTTTTCTCTAATAAACATTTTTTCTTAGATAAAACACAAGGTTTCAAATCAAATTGAAATGCATCCATTACACTTTTAATTATTTGATGAAGGTCGTTGTCGCTCAAATATCAATTTTCACGAAATGATCGTCTTTATAATTATTTGACGTAATTTATTCTAGACTGTTCACTAATAATTTGACGTCATTTGACTTAGCTAACGTTTTTGCAGCTTCTTTGTCACGGATACCATTGCAACTACATTAACAATTTTTTATTAGCATTAAAAAAAATTTGAATAAATTCAAAATAACGCAACTGCCCAAAAGACTGTTTTTACCCTTCTATTTTTTACCCAAAAATCTATCAATTTTTTTAAAAATGTTTTGTATAAGGTAACCGTCAACCAAGTGGTGGAAACCATTAGTGAACGCCGCCAAAAATCATTTAAATGATTAATAATTAGGCGGCCGTGATTAATGGATATGCGGTCTTCTCCAATGGCTCTTGCCTGGCGGCCTCAAAGCTGAAGGCTGAAATAATGTCTGAATAAAAATTAGTTAGGTAAAAATCTTAAAGATTTGACACCAAAGTTGTGCAAATGATTTGCAAGACTAATTTTTCGACTATTAAAATTAATATAATGTTCTCGAAATGATTTTTTTTAAAACCATAGAATAAATGCTATGATAGAGTTTTATTTGTCGTTGGCGAAAAAAATTTTCGATGGAAAAAGTTTGATATTTTCGACAAGCCAACCAAAACATTTAAATTCTAGTTTTAATTATAACTTTTTATATTATAAATCTTTAACATTAAACTCTTAGTTTTAATTATTGTAAATTTATTGAAAAATATCTTTTAAAATTTATCAAAAATTTAAGAAAATTAGTTTATATTGATGCCGATTTGAATTGAACCTTTGCAATAGACATAATATTTACAAAAATGTTTTTTAAATTAAATTAGTTTTTCGCCACGTGTGGTTAAAAACGAAGCGCCTCTTAATCAACCAAAAAATATGATAAATGGCTTTTTTTTAAAATATTTAGTTTAAACAAACTTAAATTTTAAATTTGTTTATTTTAGACATTTTTTTTTTTTTTTTAATTTTCTTTGTAGTATTAAATAACTTTAAAATTAAAATTTAAATCACTAATTAAAATCTTTTATAAAAATTTTTCCGCGGTTATGAAATTTTACTTTTAACATAATGTAATTTGGAACCTTGTTGAAAAAGGAATGTCGATGCGGTTTAATTTTACAAAAAAAAATTTTTCTGTTTTTAGGCAGAAACATGTGTATGCTTTAACGCTTATGTATCTGTTATTAAGTTTCGAGGACGCGATCTAAGTTTGAAAACGTTCATGTTTTTTAAAAAAGAGAAAGAATCTCCTAAGACAGCTACTAGTACGAGCTACTAGGTGTTAGATTTTTGAAGAAAAGCAAAGTAAGCATGGAATATCTCAAAGCTTTTTTCCTGTGACACTAATAAGTTTATTTGTTTTGTTTTAATGTTTTTGTTTTTTTGTTAACTAACTGCGAGTAAACTATTTACAGTTTGATTCCATTATATACCGGATACAAATTGTGTCACAATCACGGCTACATTTAATTGGTTTTAAGATTTTTATTTCATTTTAATCTATAATTTATTATACAATCACAATATTACTGCAATTATATGCTGTCTTTAATGATTAAAAAACATCTATCAATTGTAATTGTCAACATTTTTAGGAAACGTTGTTTACAAAAAAAAATTTGACACATAAAGATATTGCTACAAGAGGTATCCATAAATTACGTAAAAAAAAAAATCAACCTCGAGGATAGGTAGAGAACGAGAGATGGTCAAACCGTGCACTACTTGCTGTCTTTAACACCACCATCCATGTACTCATCAGTACATTAAGGGTAAATTCCCAATCGGAATATCTGCGTACGTGCTTTATGGAAAACCGAATGAAGGTTAGAATTTAAATTTGTTAAACATGTTATTGATATTATTAGTACAGTATCATCAAGTATCACAACAAAAAAATCCGTCTTAACCGATGCAGTAAGAGATTTTATAAAATATTTAACTGTTTTGGTAACAAAAAAAAAAAGAAAAGAAAAGTAATTCGCCAATAACTGTTGCTGATGACTTGGGAAGATTGGGAAGAATAAAATTAGGCAACCGTTCCGCAATATTAAGAACTCTTGCTCAACAAGCTAGAGATTTAGGCTTCTATGCTGGCTCTGGGAATATTTTGTGACATTTATAGAGGCGTCAACTTTTGAGTTAAGCGCGGTCACAGATTGCTTTGCGACAAGACCATTAGGTTTTCTTAGAACACCTTAAGCAAAAAAGTTAGATTTTTTTTTTTAATTTTTTAAGTGAGCTCACTATTTTTCCTTTCAATTTTTTAATAAAATATTTGACTTCTTGTTGATTTTTCATGTAGCTGACCAGAAGCTTTGGGATCACGGTGGTTCTTTATACCAAATTAAACTTAAAATTTTGTCCCACTTTATTGATCATGTCAGCTACTTTTTTGCAAATAATTTTGTATTTAGATTTCAACAGCGGGTTTCTCTATTTACATGAGCGGTTTTTATACATTATACATAAGCGGTTTTTATACATGAAATTTTGTTTGTTTCTAATTAAAACTTTAAGCTAGCATTAACCCGAGACGGTTTGATTTTTAAAGAGTTTAGAGCGATGGTTTGATTTTTAGAGAGTTTGGAATAATGGTTAAAATAATAATAAAGTTAATAATAAAGTTAATAATAAAGTTAATGGTTTGATTTTACTCTCTTGATTTTGATTGACACAATTTTTTGAAATAAAAGATTCTTCTTCAGAAGCAAAAACTTGTAAATCACCAAAAGAGTTTTTTACCAAATGAAATGTGCCAATGAAAGTTATTAGCTGCCCCTTTTTATCAGATATCTGAGAACTGATTTTCATAATCTTAGCTTCGAATAAAAGGTTTTTTGGTGTATAAAGCATTTGTCGTAGTTTGTGGATTTTATGACTTTTGAGAAAAGTAGGGGATTGTCCATAAAGTACGTACGCACGGAGAGGGGGCCAGCAAGTGGCATATAAGAATCGGTGGGAAGGGGGGGGGCGATGAGGACTCAATTATAAAAGTAAGGAGACACTAAATCTAATATCTTAAAATGTTGGGTAGATAGGTTAAATACGTAGGTACTTTTAGGAAGGTGAAGGGTACACAAAAAAGCGTATAGCAAAGTATGGAGGGGGGGGGGGAAGGGTAGCGTTGAAATAAAAGCGTTCGTACTTTACGGACGACCCCTAGACTTTTACTTAATTTTTAACAATAATACTGATAAAGTAAACAATACTAATATAGTAAAGTAACATAATTATTAATAATTGTATTAACGACTCTAAACTGTATAAAATGCCTAAGTTAAAAGAATAACTGACTTACATATTTGGCTTGATTACTTTGTCCAAATTAGCCAAATTACCTTTTTTTCAGACAAAACGCACAATTTTAAACCATATTGAAAGGTGTCTGATGTTTATTGACCTCTTGTACTTTTATTTATATTACAAAAGTCGTTGACAAAAAAATATTAAGCTGAGCAAGTTGATCAATTTTATATGTATTTAAAGTATTTGTTCACGACCGTTCACTATTAATTTAACGTCATTTTGCTAGATATCTTACCTAACGCTTTTACTACTTTTTTTCCATGGATACCGTAGCAACTCCTTAATAAAAATTTTCATTAGGAAATTCTATTAATAAATTCTAAATAAAAACTAAAAAATGAATCACTCCTCAAAACACTTTTTTAATGTTTTATTTAAATGTAATATTTAAATATTTAAATGTAGTATTTAAAAATATATTTTATCTTAGAAGTCTACAAAAAAAATTTATCTGTCATTACTTACCCATGGACGTCGGCCCGATGTCTTGTCGACATCTTTTGTATCAGCATAAGATCGGCATTGTGTTTTGTTATTTTTTTATTTTTGTTTGTTTGCTCTTATTTAAAATATTTAAGAACCAATTACAAATATATACAAAAAAAAAACTACAAGTCAAGATATCTTGACTTGTAGTTTTTCTTTTCTTTTTTTTTTTTTTTATAACAGTATATACTGTTAAAAAATGAAGAATAAAAATAAAGACCGCGGATAGTCAAAGACAAACAAGTCAGAGAATTGCTGTTCTATGCGTCGCAAATCTGAAATAGGATTTTACTAAATTTTTTGGAAAAAAATTTAACTTTGGTTATTTTAAACATTTTTCTACCAAAAAATTTTTATCGATTATCATTTACTACTGACTTCTCACCGAAATCATATATACAATCGATTGCTAAATTAGTATTTAGCAATCGATTGTATATATAATTTAGGTTGCTTCTCTTTATAAGGCTTGGTATTTTTTTACTCCTGATTTCATTCTCTACCTCTACAAGTCTCTTATGCGTCTCTGTATGGAATACTGTTGTCATATTTGGGCTGGTTTTTCTAAAGATGCTCTTTCTCTAGACAAGGTTCAAAAATGCTTTGTAAACGTACTTGGAGCTGATCTATCTGCCAACTTGAGCCTCTCTCCCAACTTCATAAGGTTGCTTCTCTTTCTCTTTTCTACAAATACTACCATGGTTGCTGCTCAAAAGAGCTATCATCTCAAGTTCTATTAACTAAAACTCATTCGTTATTCAGGAAAGTCTCATGAGATGACAGGTATAAACCATGTCATCTCTCATTATACCTGTCATCTCTGAGATGACAGGTATAAACCATGTTTATACCTGTCATCTCAGCGATGACAGGTATAAACATGGTTTTCAAACCAATCAGTTGATAGGCCAGTTCTGAAACTAGAAGAATGTCCGTTTATTTGCAACCTTAAATTGTTTGTTTTACCAGTATATGTGGCTTGTTTTTTGCATGACAAACATTTAAGGTGATAAATTACATTTTTTCTGTTGCATGTGGTGTGACTTTTTATTTTCCAAATAGTACCATTACATGTTTCAAACTCATCTACTTCTTGAAGATAGAGTTTGCATGTTTTACACCGAATGTCTTTGCATTTAAATAAGCCAATCTTCTTATTAGTTGCTCCAATTTTTGAGGAAGTAAGTCTTCTTAGTAAGTCAGGAGGTTG